AGAAGTTAAAAACACAGTGATAGCAGACACAAAACAAAAATCTGGGGAATTCTCCTTAATTAGATTACACTCAGCAAACCCTGTCTATCTGAATGAGGACACAGCAGTGGAAACCGCCTGACAGCGTCGCTAATACAACCGAGGGGTTCTGTGGCAACAGACATCTGTTTTAAAACCCTGATCCAAATCTGCCCCTAGAGGCAAATCAGCCAGACTTTGGACATCGGTCTGAAGCATTAAAAGCAAAATTCATATTTGATATTTGCTGGGAGCACGTGCAGCTCCACTCAACTCACCACATTTCAACAGCACCCTGGATTTCAAACAGCTCCAGCAGCCTGCAAGGAGAAATAGACCCATTCATTATAAAACACTCACCTATTAGCAAGGTGTAGTAATGCTGCTTCCCAGCCTAGAAAGGTCTCAAAAAATTGACCAAAGTGCAAAGTAGACTCAGCCCCTAAACACTGCCCTACAAATCAAGGGCTTGAAAATTTTGTTGTGTGGCGTTTTCTCCCTCATGCTTAATTTTCTTGCATACAGACCTGTTGGAGGACCTTGCATACATCCCCTTACTTAGAAAAGCAAGAAAAAAAATTTTCCCTTTTTTCCCCTCTCTGAAAGCAGAATCTATTCATGTTTTATTACAACAGTCCATGGTACATGTCAAATACGGAGGGGCCAAAGAGGAAAATCTGGCAATGATCCTCCAGTACATCATTTCAGACAGCAGGCACACACCTCAGAATAAATAAATAACCGCTAAGCCATCCCCATTCATGTTTATAATTAGTGCAATCTATTTAACAAACAGACACATAATATAGGTCAATTATGTAGGTCATGATAAATTTATGAAGAACTTCAGCCTGTAGGGCACCTAAAAGACCACGCTGAGGCAGCATTTCCAAAGTTACAGTTCATTTCTGCACATGGTTTGTGAGCAGCAGTGAGGAACAGCAGAGACCTCCTCTGTTTTTCTGGTTTGTGGTTCTGTAGCCACAACCATCAAGTAACATAACAGCCACATCCCCTGGGAGACACCCCCTATGATACAAGCACAGAACTGCCCCTCCAAAATATTGCACCAGTTACTACTTTCAGCCAAAATTGCCAGAAGCATAAATGTCTCAAAGGTATTTAATTGCTATGACTTTGTCAAAAACTGATGGGTATCCAGAGGGGAGATAGAGAAATATGCTATTTATGCTTTCTCCATAGGAAAGGAAATGGTAATTCAGCATTTATCTGGTATGTTTGATCATGGCCGTCTCGACCAGGGACAGATGCAGCTGCAGAGAAATTGCAGTACATGCCAAGCTCTGCCTTGCTAGGAGTTTGGGGAAGGAATGATGAAGAACCACAGTGGAGGGCATCAGAGAGCAGCAGGTGCTGTGTGGGCTTTCAGGTAAGAGACAGGGCCTCAGAACTACCTGTGCTTCTCAGGAATATGGGGAGGATGCAGTGATAGACGGCCACAGAAAAAGCTACACATGAATGGTTTGCATCAAGGAGACAAATTTAACGTTCAGGGTTCAATGAACAACACACTTTTCTGCTACAGGTCAGCACAAGAGAGAAGATGGAACCTGAATGGAAAATTGAAATATAGGTTTAGTTTCTGTTCCTTCTCCTTAGTATTTCCAAGTACTGCAGCAGACCAACTCTCTTGCTGGGCACATGTCAGCTGGTTGAACACCCATGTGCCTCTCTGAGGATGTAGGGACATGGATTATTCAGTGGGATTTGGCCCATGTTGTTAACTGGCTTGCACAACATGCCAATCACATGCAATTCATGGGCACACTTTGACAAAAATACTGACTTTATACTTACAGTACAACATAATCTTGTTACGGTTCACAAGAGTTGTGACCAAATTGGTGAAATAACCTTTTAATTATACAGATTCTCTTATCTGTACAATTTGTTTTTGATCTCTGTTTATTATTTCTCATTCAGACATCCAAAACAATGATTCTTATAATAAAAGAGTGGCAGAGATAATTTCCCAAATGGTTCCTAAACTGGTTTCCAATAATCTGCATTTTACCTCAGGTTTGATATATATAATACACCAAGCTATGAATCTAAATGTTCAGGTATAAGTAATATCTACAATCATGTTCAAGTACAAGTAATATCTACAATCACAATGTAGACATCATACTTGAAAATTCATTACAAATCTCAAACTGTGTGGCTTAATTCTAAGAATGACCACAGTACAGCGTGTGACAGTTTCAGGAATGGATCCAAAACTCTTTAAACCACCTACACTCCATCCCAGGTCCACAGCTGAGGGAAGAGGGTTTCTACAAACAGCCTGAGAATTGTTCCCATGCACATAAGTAATGTTTTTCAGAGGACAGAGGGAAAGAAAAGACCAACTCAGTATTACATTCCTATTTCTTTGTAATCTCTAATCCTAACTGCAGCACTCTTTATTAACATAAGATAGTTCAGTTTCAACTAAGAGAAATAAATACTGTACTATTTTGCCCCTGTCCCTGGGAAAATGGCGTTCCTGACAAAATACTGCTCTCTGCTGGCTTTGACCTACTTTTCCTCAAGGGCCTCACCTCCTGAGATCTGCCTTCCCTCCTGAAAAGGGAATAAAGAATCTTTCGCTGACCTAGTAATCAGTGACAGGAGCACTTCTTTATTTAGGATTGAAAAAAATTATTTTGCTAAGGAAAACCATACTGATATCACCGAAATATTCTGTTTTGAAGAAAAAAATGCAAGTAGTCCTTCACCCCGAGTAACTCTCCAGAAGTATTCCTGTTTTCTTGCAACCTGGAAGGAGAAGAAACAGGCTGTTGATGTAGCAGGATCTCTGTTGTGATGAGTTCAAATGACTGTGTTTCTAAACAGAAGGGACTCAAGTCTTGTTCTCAGTTTCAGGAAACTTTTTCTTCTACATGGGCATTTTCACAGCAGCCCAAAATCCCAGTGGCAACCACGGAATTTGAGATGAAGCTCACTAGTCTTTTAATTCAAAGGATAACTCCAGATCAGATACAATTCATATACAACTCTGAGTAGTATCTTAACTTCTTATCCTCATTTTTTTTGCTGTTTTACCAAAAGGGGATCAGAACAAAGCTAACTGAAAACCAGCTTATTTGCACTGAATTTACCTTTACACTGCTGCTAGATATCATTGAGCTACATCTGTCATGGACCATAAAAAAAAAAACAAAAAAAACCATAAAAAATCATTTTTAGTCTGTCAACATCTTATATTTTGGGGCGGACCAAGGTGATGCCATGCTGCAGACTCACTAAGACCAGTGACCATGCCCAGCTATGACCATGACCATGTCTTCCCTCAGTCTGAGAGATAAAGGTCATTCACCCAGCAGTCAGGCCTCATCGTTCCTGAGGTTCTCCTGTCTATCTTCTCCCTGACAGCTTTGCAGCTCCTGAGATGCCATGACTGACAGGAATGCCACAGCAGCAATTTTGGGATTAACAACTATGTGAATTAGCAGAATATTCTTGCATGCCATTTTTTCCTCCAGCAGCTGGCAGACTCATGTTTCTGTGGTGAAACCACACCAGCAGGGTCTTGCTTACAAACCACCAGAGAAACCTAACATAGATTCTGTTGCAATCACATCACAGAAGAGCCACAAATCTTAAAAAAAAAATTTAATTATTTGTACATGAGGTATAGAGAAAGGTATGAAGCAACTACCCAAGGGCATCCCTTGCTCACATCTACTCACGCTCCCGGCCACAGACCCAGCCCAAACTTGCAGATCAGGAGCTTCTGGGAGGACTGGTTCGCACTGGGGTGCAGAGGGTGCCCAGCAGCCCTGCCAGCCATCTCCTGGTGGCATTATCCCTGGGCCATGGGGCCTCTGCCACCACCCACACAGGCCTTGCTCTGCTCTGCCCACCAACCTTGAGCACCTCTCCTGTTATTGTCCACAAAAATCAGATTCATTACCCAAGTGTGCAACAAGCCAACAGTTACACACTCAAGAGAGAGATCTGATTATTTGTTTCACGGTTGCACAAGCCTGGATGATTGGTGGTATTCTACAAACCAAGGATGCCCCTCAGGACTTCCAGGCCATTATTTATACATAGTTATTTAGTACTAGTTACCTCCAACATGTTACTGTATTCCATATCTATCTATGCCCCAAATTGTTATTATGTCTAAAACCCTGCAACCAGCGAAGAGAGTCAGAGTGGGAGATGTCACAGGCCTTTTAAAGTCTTTGTTCACCAGGGGTTAGTGAGATTTAGCAATTCTGTTTCCAGTGGTTATTTACTGCGGTTTTGTTTGTTTGTTTGTTTTTACCTGTTGCTGTTTCACTGGTTGGTAAACTTATTTTTTCATTTACATCTATTTGTATTCCTTATTGGTTGAAGGAGATTGATTAAAACTAAAGGGAGATAACTCATTTAGACCATCCACCTCTTAAATTGTCTTAAACCAAGACAGTACAGCCCCTCTATTAGGACTGGTTAGTAATTATCACACAAACTATGTGACCCACATCATTTCCATACGTACTATGGGGAAGGGTCTTCACCTGGACAGCCAGCACCTTTTTCACCTACAGGCATGACTTTTTAGTATTATAATGAATATATTTCAGCTATAGTATACATGGACCTTGAGTGTTTGGCAATGGATGTATCAACAGCTTGATGTACCTCATCCTTAGAGCTTGTTAGCTCCACGGTGTCCTTGACTACGTGAGGTTAACTACCACGTGATTCGAGATAATTTTGACACATTCCACACTGTTTCTCCACACCTTTCTGACGTTGCGGCATTTCACCTTTATATATATATATATATATATATATATATATATATATGTATGTATATATATATATATATTTTTTTTTTAAGGCCATTTCCATGGAGCTCCCGCACCGAGGGTCCGGCGGGCCGCTCGCGGGACCGCCCGCGCCTCCCCTCACGGAGCCGCGCGCCCGCCTCGCGCCTGCGCCGTGGGGCAGAGCCGCCCGCGAGCCGGGCGGCGGCGGCGCCATGGCGGGGCCGGCGTGAGTTGGGAGTGAGGGAAGAGGGAGACGGGAGGAGGAGGAGGAAGTGCGGGCGGCGGAACAGTGGTCTGTGTGTGAGCCAGGGACACCCCGCGGGTGGGCCGGGTCGGGCCCGGGCTGTGCCGGGCTCCCGGCTGCATTCCCGGCTCCGGGGCGCCAGCGGAAAGCCTGTGCCTTGCAGCAAATCTTGGCGCCCCCTGACAAAGGCGGGGAAGGGCCAGTGGCGATTCCCTCCGGGCAAACGGCGGTAGGGGCTTAGCGCTTCCAGGCTGCTGCGCCTCCTCGTGTTTCCAGCCTCTTCTCTCCTGCGGTGGAGCTCGCGTCTCCTGGAAGGATCCTCCGGGCCCTGCGGCTTTCCTCCCTCGTGTGACAGCCAGCTCTGGTGAAGCTGCAGCTGAGGCCTTCCCGGCGCCGGGAGGATCGGAGTGGTCACCCCACAGACCTGCAGCGATTGCCACCTGCGCCTCTCTGCCTGCTGGTAGAAGCCAGGAAGACTTTTAATTTAGTTGCAATACCATCTTCCTGATTTCTGTGTCATGACAGTCTGCAGTTCCCTTTCTCTTAAGCTGATCCATTATTTATGTGTATATGTGCCTGTGATTTTGTTTTCCTCCATTTTTATGCAATGTTGTCTTGCCTGGTTTTGGAAATACTCTGTAATCACCCTGATTTTAAATTCCTTCCCCTCACACCTTCTGTATGCTTCCTGAATTCACATTAAGAGGTTACATATGTGTAAAAAACCTTGTTTAACTCAACTTCATCAATTGGTTTCCTTTCTCTTCATTACTCAATCAAAAAAGGAAAAAATGTACGTAATTTTTCTTCCCATAATTTACCACTGACTGCTTTTTAATCATTAGAATGATGGTATGTGAGGCCTTGTAGATTTTATGCGTTGTGCTTTGCTGTGGTTTCTTTCCTAGTGTTGGAGATAGGGGAGGAGGGCACTCAGTTCCCTGGATCTTGCATCTTGCCTTTCAAATGTTAATTTTAAATTGTCCTTGTCCAGTCTTCTGGGACGTCCCTCACCATCCAGAAACTAACAAAGATAACTGCCCAGAGAAGCTGTGGGATCTTCATCCTCAGAGTTTTTCCAAGTGCCTTTGGATATAGCCCTTGGCCACATGGAGGGTCCCAACAGCTGCCCCTGCTGTGAGCAGGATGTTGGATGTGGTCCCCTCCCACCTTAGTCACTGTACATAGGTTCTCTGAACCCTCCTTATTTTGTGCCTTAGTAGGCCTCTGTAGAAATGGGGGAAAAGAACATTTGTGCTGCTCCATGCCTCAAAGCATGCTGTGGGACTGGAAGAGGTGCTAAAGGAGGTTGCTTTACTTCTGTTCATTGGGAAACTAGTTTCCAGTGTTGTAGGCATCATACTTTTAGATCCTTCTATCATGTTGGAAAAATAAAACAGATTCTTTCTCTTCTGTTGGATGTAGGAGTGATGTGGGAGCGTCCTGTACTGCCTGAAGGACAAGGAACAGACCACTTGATAAAGGGAAGAAACAAAACATCCCATTAAATGGAAGCCATGAAGATATCAAAGCGGTTCTTCGCTTTTGGGATTTTGACATGCATAGCTGTTTATGTTGCATATGTAAAATGGCACTTGGGCTCCAAACCATTTGTGGGAACCACAGAAGGAGTTGCTGAAAGCAGGGAAGATAAACTGACCCATCAGGCAGTGACCACAGATCTCTCTGTCTTTTATGGAATTATGTTTGACGCAGGAAGCACAGGAACTCGCATCCATATATTTAAATTTGCTCAGCAGCCAAGAGGTATGTCCTGCTCATTGCATGACAAATTAAGTCTTCGATAAACTGTGGAGGAGATTATTGATGACATTTTCTTAGGGTCTACTTGAACATACATGCTTCAGGTCTTTCCAGAGGGCCATCAGGAGGTATGAAATGGTTCAGGCATGAGTATTTGGATGAAATTATGAAAATATTCGACAAGGAGAAGGTGCTGTAACGTCACAATATGACATAAATAGCAGCTGTACTTTTAGAGTAGTGTCTTGAAGAAAGGCAGTTTTTCATCACACTGGTGGAAGAGACAATTATAAATTCAAACTGCCTTATTTTCCCAAATGTTTTAGGTTGTTTGGTGTCTCCAGTTCCTGGCAGTGAGCTGCTCCTCTCTACAGTGTCTGGTTTAGTGCATCCTTGGCTTCAGTGTTAGGTTTAAGCTGCGAAACAAAACAAAACTTGCAAATAGTTTGATTAAAATTGCAGAAACTACTTCTGAAAATTGAGACAAAGTGTACAAAAAAGCTTCAGCTTTCCTCTGCAGTAGTAAGCTTCATTTGTTTGTATGTTGTCAACTCCCCTTTGTGATAATCTTAAAGATCAGAGAACCTGGGTGGGTGCTGTTAGTAGGTGATCTAAAGGCTCTGTTGAAGATTACAGTGTGGTGTATGGTGGGATTTGCCTTAGGTTTATGTAACGGGTTGGAGTAAGGCTCAGCCAATGAAGGTGTTAAAAAACAGTCAATGGATTTCTTTCTTTTCCTGTACCTCTAAGTTTTTGCTTCTTCCTTGCTTGCTTCATTTGAAACACAATTTCAGAATGTATCACAGCAAACTTGATGTTGTATAGGTGTTGCCTGGACTGCTGGTTTATACAAGGTACTGCAGCTTTCCAAAGTACTGAAGTCTGCATGCCTCTGTTGCCATTGAAAATAGTGGAAAAGCTTCCACTGGGTTGTGGTGGAATCAAGTTTAGCCAGACAGGGTAGGCTGAAACAAAAGATTTTTTCTTGCAGGTGTAGTTTGAAAAGCTGCACATGGAAGATGTAAGGCCTCAAAGACAGCTTGCACCCATCTGGTGACTGATGTGCATAATGGACAGCAGCACCTGACAACCAGTGATGGCTTTAAAAGTGGTTTTCTCAGGTTCTAATTCCACAGCCAGGGCTGTATTTAAAGGTCAGGTGGCTGATAATAGTTCATTAGACAGAGGCTTTAATTGACTCCTATTAGCACATAATAATGGAATTTTAAAAATGGTTTTTGTTTTGTGCATGCAAAATTATTTGTACCATTACTTATTTTGGAATGCTGCTTTTGAACAGAGACTCCCAGATTAACCCATGAGACGTTTAAAGCACTGAAACCAGGTCTGTCTGCATATGCTGATGATGTTGAAAAGGTAATTTAAGTTACTTCTTTCCTGTCTCCCTTGCCTTCTGGTTTGCAGGGATTTAGGGACTCCTAAAAGCCAGACTTAGACCCAGCTCATAGTGTTTTACAAAAGCTTTTGCTTTCTGAGAATTTGTCATACTGCCTTTTTAGCCTTTTGTAGCCAAAAAAATTTGGTGGCAGAGTTCTCTTTCACTGTTTGAAAAAGTGACTCTGTCTGGCACCAGTTGCTCAATATTTCCCATTATATTGTGGGAAATATAATATGTAATATAATATAATTATATTAATAGGCCATATGCTTTAGTGAGATACTGAATCGTGCACCTTCTCTTGACCCCTTTTGGTATTAATTTGTCTCTGTTTCACATTTACAGTGATTCATAGCTCTGATCACCCTTGTGAGCTTTCAAAAGAGTTTTTAAGATGTCTTTTATTGTTCTTTGCTCAGAGTGGCCAGGGAATAAAAGAGCTCCTGGAGGTGGCAAAGAAGGAAGTTCCTATGGAGCTGTGGAAGTTTACTCCTCTGGTCCTGAAAGCCACAGCTGGCCTACGGTTGCTGCCAGGAGAGAAAGCTCAGAAGTTGCTGGAAAAGGTATTATCTCTTGTCATTCTGTTTGCTTTCCAGAAAACATGTTCCTGTTAAAAATGCAGCACCCTGGGACATTCCTGCAAGCTAGGGTGTCCATCTCCTGCTTTTCCCATGTATCTGTAATACCTTGAGGGTCACCAATATCAACAGAGCAAACGATTTCCCTTCCCTACCCATGTCCATCCCTTATTAATGGCATTTCTGAGCAGCCTTCATGCTTGAAATCCCATCACATCCATCCCTGTTTCTGCACCAAACTGTAGGGCCAGCACATAAAGGCTGCTGTGTGTTGGACTCTTGAACTTCAAACAAAGTGGTGAGCAGCAGTCAGGATCTGGCCCAAGAAGAGGAGGAGTAGTGTAAAACTGGGGTTTTAAAAAGCTTGTTTTCCAGCTGAAAAAGTGTTTCTCTGAATGTAGCTTTTATTTGAACTACAGGTGAAGGAGATTTTTCAGGCCTCCCCCTTCTTTGTGAGGGACAACTGTGTGTCGATAATGAATGGAACTGATGAAGGTAACTTTATAATATGATGCTAATAATAATACTAAGCTGATGATAATAATAATGATGATAATAATAATGATAAGCAACTTTATGGAGACTCTTTCTGCAGTCCTGGAAATTCCTCTGCACTGTGACAAGTCTGTGCCTGCTGTAGTGGGAACGCATAAGCAGCAGGTTTGACAGAAGCAGAGTTTTTATGTGGCCATAAGCAGTGCTTGCCAAAGAAATCTTGTGCAGTGTTTTCCAATTTGAAGTCTTGAGCTCTGTCCTGATCTTGAAAGTTCTTAATGTTGAGCAGTTCCTGTAGGATTATCAGAAAGCCACTGTGCAGTTAACACTTTTGGAGAAGTTTCTGAATATTTTGTTATTGAAATGGTCTTCAACAACTGGGTTAGCCCACTCTGCTCTTGACAATGCTTATCAGAGCTCTGGAAGTTCTTGATCATAATGTTAATTATAACTTATCTAACGTGTGGGAATGTGAGTTCCATCTGGGAAAAAAAGGTTGTATAGGGAAGAAAATACATTCTGAAGTAAATTCATGTTCATCCAAAAATGCTGAGGACAGAATGTCAAAATACTAAGTAATTGAGTATTGAAATGTGTTTTAAATCTGCTCAGAAACCAAGCTTTAAAATAGCTGAAGCTGTTTATGAGTTTCTGTTCTTTCTGCTTAATGGAGGAAAGATTTTCTTTTGTTTTAAAATCAGTAATAGCAGTGATAGCCTAGGTTCAGCCAAGGACTGAAGTAGGCCATGCTCTCTGGCATGCATTGAGTTTTAACCACATGAATAAATATTTGAATTTGTTAACATAAGGCCACTGATTCACCTAATTTATGGGGAACAGTTTATAAAACAAGAAGAGGACAAAAACAGCATAGCTCACAAAATTGCTTTGAGGAAAACAGGCAAAATTATAACAGTGAAAGATGAAAGATGAAAATTCTTAGTATTCACAAAGAAAAGTGGAGTGCCTGACATCAAACAAAAGCCAACAGTGGATGTTTTCCTAGAAAATGAACAATGGGAATTTCAGTCATCTCTTTGTCTTTTAGCTAAGGACTGAAGCCTTTGTGACTTCCTGCCTAAGTTTTTACCTGTGAAATACAGAGTTCTCCAGGCATTTCATACATGGGGCTTCTCTCCCAGATATCACATAAGCTCTGATAGAGAAGGTCATTCTCTTTGTTCAAATAGCCTAATCTTGAGTTTGTCAGACATTGACAGTTCTGGAAACCTTGTAATATGGCTTGACTTACTTGTTGCTGCTGTTACATAAAATTAAATGTTGTGATCTAAGCATGTGTCTTCTGAATCTTTTCCTTATTAGGTATTTCAGCCTGGATCACCATCAATTTTTTAACAGGTATGTGTATATGAGCATGTGTATAAAGATATGACCAGTGCTGTGAAATTCCTGGTTTTTTCTGCCCCTATATGGAATTTGCTCATTCATTGCTGGGGTGGAATGGGAGAAAGAAGGCTCTGAGAATATGTCAGCAGTTTGTTTTTGGCTTGGCCTATTTAAGTCATTAGGATTTTATCCATTTATTTGATGGAGTGAGGAGTTTAATCCTTTTTCCTAGATGTTTAATGTAGCTTTTCTTTCAGTTCCCTGTAGGGTACCAGAGCATTTTATTTCTTTTTAGAGCCTGCTGTGACACTGGCTAAATTTTTTGTGTGAGTATTCTAGATGTGCTTGGCAGCTGCAGAGAGTAAAAGAAAGTGCTATGTTACTTCCTTACAGATTTATAACACAGAAATGCCATGGGTGTTTATACTGCTGAGTGAGAAAAGGGTAGCTGAAGAGTAGAGAGAAAACCAAGCTGAAGACCTCTCTGACAATACATAAAGCACTTTGTCATCCAAGTGCTCTGTTGAGCACCCAGTGTGTGGGGCAATGTGCTCTGGGGCTTTTTATGCTCCCAGGAAATACCAGAAGGGACAGCGATCTTCAAACATCAGCTATTGTGATGTATACTGAGGTACTTGGCACAAACTGTCCTTGTCAGAAGGGTGTATTTGAAGGATCTAACTGAAAAGAACTAGATCTAAATGAGAGCAGAGGTCTTGGCTGGCAGCAGGAAGAATTCTAGGAGAGCTGAGTCTCTTAGGCCAGCTCTTTTCAGTCTGTCATCCCTTTGGCCATAGGAATCTGCAAAATATTGCTAAGGGATCAGGGAGAGGTGGCCAAGACAACCACATTCCTCTGTGATACAAAGTGGTTACCAGAGCAGAGTTTGCAAAAGGTCTTTGCATCCAAAATGTTTAGGAAAGCAATAACCAAAGCTGCTGTGATTAGGGCAAGAACAGCTACTGAAGAAATAAGACTCTTGTCACTTTAAGATTTTCAGGTTTGATAAAGCCAAAATCAGTGCCCAGTAGATAACAGTGTAATTTAGTAGTGTGCAAAAGCTGAGACTGTACCACTGTACTTCTGGTTTTGTTCCTAGTCAGTTTTTCACAGTGCCAACCATGGCTTTTTCTGTTCTGTCACACATTTCAGGCAGGCTAGATGACCCACAGAGGAGAAGTGTAGGGATGCTGGATTTGGGTGGTGGATCAACACAGATCACCTTCCTTCCGCGTACCAAGGTAACGTGAGCGTGCACTGTTGGGAAATGCTGCTGCAGGAATCTGTAACTGCTCAGATTTCTTTCCCTTGGAAACAGAGCAAGAGTTTTGTCAGTGTGGCATGAAGCCACCCCTGTGACTTGGTCATATGTGCCTTTTTATAGTCAGTCCCAGAGGTATTCACAACTCTATGTCCATCCTCTTCATCCAGCTCCATGGGTCAGGGGTATTTGTGGTGAGTTTGCCAGGGCTGCTTTATCTTGTGGAGGACACCACATTCTGAATCTTAATCTTTAACTTTCAGTTTGTACACTTTCAGTTTGTACAGTTTATAACAAAGAACACAAAAACCAAGGCTATTAATGAAATCAAATCCAGCATATGGCCTATACTGGGGTTTAAGAACACAGTGAGGTGCCTTCTCAATCCTTGTTTCTGATTATCCCAAGTTCACTTAGTTGCAAATGAATGCCATTTTAGCTTCCTGATCTGGCATTTTTACAGCTGTTCTGTGAAGCCCTGTGGTTCTGGTTATTGTAAGGCTCTGGCCTGAGCAGAGATAGTGCTCATAGTAAAGCTGCACAAAAGCAGAGGGAGCGTCCCTGCCTGGGATAATCAACACATTGCACTGTTTCAGCAGAATGGCAAGGGATGTGAAGGGTCCAGGATGTGGAAATAGAGAATATATCCTTCTGGATGTAGAGAAGGAGCTAAGATATGAGCAGCACTGGGGCCACAGCTTTGCTTCTCACAAACACTCTAGCTGTGCTGATGAGCTTGGGGAACAGGCTACCCTTTCATTCCTTCAGACCACAGGCTGATCCTTGCTCTGTTCCTTGGCAAGCACAGGGATGTGCTTTTCCTCTGGCTTGTGCAAGTTCACAGATGAATTCACTTGAGTAGGAAGTTAATGCGTGCCTGGCCTTCCTATTAGTTTGCACACAGTTCCTGTAGTAGGGATCATGTGAAGAGGCAGTTGCTGGAGCCTCTGGACAAAAGCAGTTAAGAGCTGGAATAAGGATTCCCTTTTAATGAAAGTAACTCTTTTATACAGCATGTTGGTGTGGACACATACATAACCAGTTTGAATCCTGTCATGTGAAGACACTCTTAGCTCCAGGTTTTGTGGCTGTTTTGTGCATCAGCAGTCAGATTGAAATCCTTGCAAATTCCTCATTTCTCTCTGAATCATGCTAGGATTGTTTCACGTTTTTCCTAGTGTGTTGGAAGATTACCTTGTTAATGTTTGCTACTGGCTGGCAGAAACCTGCCAGTGACATCTTTTTCTCCCTCCAGGCAACTCTCCAGACATCGCCATCTGGCCACACAACTTCATTTCAGATGTTTAACCACACCTACAAGCTGTATTCCTACAGGTTAGTTGTGGAAAAGAGAGCACAGTGCTCAGATGGAAGGTCTCTGTGAAGCCAGGGAAACTGAGATGTTTTTCTGGTGTGGGGTCCTTGCAAATTAATACCATGAAGAAACAGAGAAACTTGAGCCACATGATTTTAGTGGATTAACCTTGGCTGCCCACCAAGTCCCTCTATCACTCCCATTCTATTAACAGGACAGGGGGAAGAAAATAGGACAAAAAGCTCGTGGGTCAAGATAAGGCCAGGGAAGTCACCAGTTATTGTCATGGGTGAAACAGACTTGACTTTAATTTAATTTATTGAGTATTTAATTTATTGCCAATTAAACAGTAAGATAATGAGAAATAAGAACAAAATCAAAAATGCTTTCCCTCCACCTCTCTCTCCTTCCCAGGCTCAGCTTCACTTCCAACTTTTATACCTTCTCACCACTGAACAGCACAGGGATATGGAGAATGGGAGTTGCAGTCAATTCATAATGCTTTGTCTCTGTTATTTCTTCTTCCTCACTGTCTCCTCTGCTCCCAGTGTTTTGGGCTAGCAGCTTCTTCCCACCCATGTTTGCTGTGGGATGTGGTTGGGCTCAGAAAGTCAGTTCTGTATGCAAGTGTCTGTGCTGCCTTTGAGGAGGGTAGGAGTACCCAGTGAGGTACTAGGAGTAGAGTTAGAGAAATGCCATTGCCAGTTCTCCAAGAGCCAGATTACAACTGACAGCTATTGCCTGAGCTTTTTCAAAGAGAAATTATCCTTCTGGATAAGGTAATATGAGAGCAGGCTGTCACACTGTTCCACTTATATGCATGAGCTGCTGACTTGAGCCACTTTGCCATGGCTGTCTGGAGGAGACTGGCATGTCCCAGCTAAGTTGTCAGTGGAGTATCAGAAGAAGGATGTCTGTTGCTCACAGAGGCTTTTCTCCCTTTGCAGTTACCTGGGACTTGGGCTGATGTCAGCAAGGCTTGCCATTTTGGGAGGAGTTGAGGGAGAACCATGTAAGTTATGGGCAGTCCTCAGATCCTGGTTCTGAGCTCAGGATATGTAGTCCTGTGATGGGGTGAGGAGCTGTGTATCCCCTTCCCACCGGCCTCAAGGTTCCTGAGTGACATGTGGGCTCCTGTCACCATGGCTGGGTGTATTTGAGACGAATGCAGGAGGTGGCACTGACAGGTCCCAGGAGACCTGGATTCTTGCCAGCCTTAGGTTGCAGGTGGGCTGTGGAGGGGCCTTGCTGAGGCTGCAGGACAGTGTGGAGCAGGGCTGGAGGTGAAGGATCTGAATTTTCTCCTTATGTTTTTTCCTAATGTGGCTTTGTTTTACTTCTGCAGTAGGAGAAGGGGAGGAATTGATCAGCCCTTGTTTATCACCTGGCTTCAAATCCGAATGGCAACACGCTGAGATAGTGTACAAAATTAAAGGACAGAAGGCAGGTATAGTGATTTATCACTCTTGCTTTTCTAGAATGATACACTCTCATCGTCTTTCAAAGACACCAGTCTCTGTTTACTGTTCTGTCTGGCTCCTCTTGATGTGCTGTCAAAGAGATCCTGCAGTTCCTTTGTTTTGTGCCATGGTGTGTCTGTCCGGTCAGTAAAGCTGCTAGAATTGATGCAGATGGAGTTGACCAGTCCTTGAATGGGTCTTTCAACTCCGTTCTGCCTTAAATGATGTTGTCCATCTCTGATCTATCACACTGTCCCAACCTGAGGATGGTAGGTGTCTGCCTCTAGAAGAAGCTTCAGATTTCAGTTCTCTGTGAAGAGTTTTGCTATTTTGCAAAAAGGTTCCTGTTTCCTGGCAGATCCTAAATAAATTCTATATATATTTAATTCTCAGCCTGTAATATGGTGGGTTTTTTTGGTCTTCTTTTAGGTGAACCTCTGTATGAGTCTTGTTCTAATAAAGTGGCAAAGATGCTCTACAAAAAAGTGCATAGAGCTGGGGAAGTGAAGGACCTGGATTTTTACATTTTCTCCTACTACTATGACTGTGCAGCAGAGGCTGGTCTCATAGGTATGTCTGCTTCTGAGTTGGTTTCATTTTAAATGGCAAGTTATGGAAGCAGTGGGAACACTTGCAAACATGATGATGCTTTGTTAAGCTGTCATGGAAATTAGTCTGTTGTTACACTTCTGTGCAGCATTGATCTTGACTTGATATTAATTTCTATAGAGAAAATACTAGGGCTGTGAAATAGGATCTACAGCCTTTGATAATAGTTTTTAAACAAACTGTTTGCCTTTCAGAAATGCCTAATTAGCTCTACAATCTGAAATAGAAAAAACTTCATGATGATAAACAAATTTCTTGGGCAGTAAAGCAGTAAAAATTACTTGGGCTGTGTGTTTGCTTCACTGACCATTTGATGGAATGAAGATTTTCAGATATTTCCACATGCATTTAGAATGCATCACATCTCTTTTCCAGTGGTGTGCTTGTGTACAAAAGGCTGTCATATTCAGTGGTAAAAAGCAGATAATGAGATCTCAAGTTAGTCTAGACAAACACACCCCCCATTCTTAGCTACTCTCTTTTTACAAATAATTTCAGATTTAATGTGTTGCACAGCACTGCCCTGTCAGATCCGGTCACAGGTGTTCACTGTCCAGGCACCACAGGACAGGGCAGTGCAGAAATGGGGGTCAGCTGAGATGGTCTGTAAGCTCTGTTTCTGTAGGAAACAAGTCTAAAGGTTCTTCATAAACCAAGTTTTTTTTGACTTATATTGAGAATCTTTTGAAGGTTCTTTTACCTTTAAAAGCAGTCTGAATTTTGAGATTGATTTTAGTGGCTCAAGGTTTGATTTCCAAACAGCTTTTATGATTTGAGTCTACAATTGTCTTTCTACAAAGATCATTAAAAAATGGATTTTTTTTTCTTTTAGATAAAGAAAAAGGAGGAAGCTTAACTGTCAGTGACTTTGAAATTGCGGCTAAATATGGTGAGTAAAATACAAACATACACTAGTAATTGTGTGTAAAATCATTTTAGGTGGCAAATGTGAGACACACTAAGAAGTCTGATGCTTTTAAGTAAATATTGAGTCCCTCTAAATAGTATCTAACCAACATTTTTGCTTATTTCTGAAAATCTCACCTATTTTTATATTAACTTTTGCTTTTGCAGTGGGTTTTATTTTGAGTTTCTTTTATTTTTCTTTTATGCTGTTGGGCTTTTTTAAATTTGGTTTTGTCAACATTTGTTAAATGCTGGTGCTCAAGAAAGATAATACAGCTGAGGTTGCTCAGATATTCAAAGACTTGAAGTAGATAGAAGAAAAGCTCTTTTCCTGGAGAGGTATAAGAAACTGTTGTCTTAGGGGAGAGACAGAATGTCTTGACTTCCTTACAAAGCTTATGTGCTTATCCTAATGTGTGTATGTCATTTCAGCCCCATTATAACAGGTTCCATCACCGACAAGAGCTGTTTTGTGGATTCATTTGAGATTTTTCACAGCGGGGCTGTTGTTAGACCTGAGCCCACAGTGTGCATTCACACACTGCTTTCTTTCTTCTCAGTTTGTAAGACCATGGAAATCAGCCCTGGAAACAACCCTTTTCTCTGCATGGACCTCACATACATCACCTTCCTGCTGCAGGAACTGGGCTTCCCGAAGAGCCAAGGCTTTAAGGTGAAGCTCAAAGTGGATTTGTGGGGAGTGTGGGCAGGAGGGTGCCAAGGCAGGAGTCATCCTGCCAGGAGCTTGGTTCTTGATTTACCTTCTTGCTACAGCACATGGTCTGCAATCTGGGTGCAGCAACGCTCTTCCCACAACAGTGGTAACTGTTTGTCATAATCTTCAGCACTGTACCCACCTTGCATGCTTCAGATTCTCCCAAAAAAATGTGTTTTAACTTTTCTGCTTTTTTTTTTTTTTTTTTTTTTTTTTTTTGTCCAGCTTGCCCGGAAAATTGACAATGTTGAAACGAGCTGGGCATTGGGAGCCACTTTCCATTACATCGACTCACTGAATAGACTGCAGTACTAATGCTTCTAGAAGGTGACCTTTTCGAATTTCCATTTTTTGGAAGCCCAGCATGGGAGACCCTATTGAAGGGTGTGCTTTTGGCTTCCAGAGTCCTTTGGAAGATCACAGTGAACTATACTACTTTCCTCCCACCCACTGCCAAGTCCCCACCATCGCTAGCTCTTTTTTACAGTGCAGAGTGTAAAGGAAAAGCCTGGATTTGACAGCATGTGCCATCAGCTTAATGTAAAAATTGATCCTTTTGGAAGGAAAACCAGGACTCTGCAGGACATCTATGATCTCTATGAGAAAAACACACCTTTTTTTGAATATTCCTATTCTATGTGCTCACAGTGTGCTGAAGTTGCTGAATGGTCATTCCAGAAGGAACTCTTTACTGTCCTGATTTCAGGGTGTTTTTTTCCTGTTTGTTAGCAGTTTTCAGTGATGATTTTTATTTTACTACTCCTGTGTTTGAAGGTAAACTTGTGTGTGTGCAAAAATGGTGCATTTACACATTATGCTGCTGACAGGCAGCAGCCTTGGAATGCAGCATGGAAGTCACAGCTCTGTGTTCCAGTTGCTGAAGGAGAAAAGCCAGGGAAGACTCTAGAACTGGATACAGGCTTGGAGGCATGAGTTGGAACCTGTGTGCCCTGTAGGGTTAAAGCCTAATGTTGATTCCCTGGCTATTGGGAAGTGGATGATGGAAGGCAACATCAAATTTGCTGAATGAGCAAGGCCTGGGAGTTGGGTGCAAGGACAATGATGGATTTGACAGTTCTAGAGCTGGTCAGAGGAAGATAAAGGAATAAGGTGCAGCCACAAAAATAGACTCTGAGTATCGCAGACTTTTGCGCCTTGGCAAGGTTTGTGCAGGGCTGGGGATGAATGCATTTGCATGGTATTTTGGATGTCTTTTCCTGCAAACACATCTGTGCTAAATGAATGTATTGTGGTTGCAATGAGCCAGGGCAGGGTAGCTGAGATGTTCCACTCTAACAGTGCCTGGTATGTGAGCACAAAGTGATCACAGGGGCTGGAGGGGATATGCTGTGCTATTTGTAATCTAGTTGTGGATTTGTGATGTATTTAATGAATGTATAGAGAAGACCCAAGTGGTCCTTTGGGGGTGCAGAACAGCACAGCTTCCCTGAGAACCCTGACTCATGGGCTCAGGGCAGCAGTACATGAGACGGTGGCGTTCTGCGTGGGGACACTTGAACCTCGCTGTGCCGACAATAAACTCCCAGTTTGAAACAGAACGTGGTGGTGAGGACGCTTTTAGCACGGGGGGTGGGATGAGAAATCACTGCCCTGACGCCATCCCTGACCCCTCGTGCCATCAGTCGCTCCGCCATCCCAGCCCTCCGGTGCCATCCCAGCCCCTACACCACCGCAGTCCCCGGTCGCCCTCCCGCTCCCCCTCGGCCCGCCCCGGCAGCGGCGCCGGCCCCGCCTCGCCGCGGGCGGAGGAGGCGCAGGCGCGGCGGCCCCGGCCCTGCCCAGCCCCGGTCCTGCCCAGCCCCGGCTGCGGCGGAGGCGGCGGCGGAGCCGGCGGGATGGCGGCGCCGCTGAGCGATGGGGACCGTCGGAAGCAGATCAGCGTGCGGGGCATCGCGGGGCTGGGGGACGTGGCCGAGGTGCGCAAGAGCTTCAATCGCCACCTCCACTTCACCCTCGTCAAGGACCGCAACGTCGCCACCCCCCGCGACTACTACTTCGCGCTGGCCCACACGGTGCGCGACCACCTGGTGGGCCGCTGGATCCGCACCCAGCAGCACTACTACGAGCGGGACCCCAAGGTGAGCCCCGGCGGGACCAGGGACTGGGGCTGGGCGGCTGTGCCTTCACCAAGGGTGTCTCCGTGTCTACCTGGCAGGTATCACTGGCTGTGACCCATGGGCTTGTCCCCTGCATGCACCTGGCTGTGGGGCGCCTTGCCATGGCCGTGCCCCTCACGCATCCCGCCGTCATTTCTTCCCTGCGGGCATCATGACACCTGTAGCTCTCACACGCACCCTGCTGTTGCTGTGTGCCCGGGGGCATTACCATGGCCGCGTCCCTTGTACACACCTCAGTGTGTCTGGGTCCCCATGAGCCTTGCCTCAGCTGTGTTCCTCACACACATCTTGCCATGCCTGTGTCCCCACGGACATCACCACAGCCATGTCCCTTGTGCAGTTTGCTATGACTGTGTCTCCACAAACTTCTGCAGTCCTGTTCCACTGAACCTTGCTGCAGCGTTGTCCCCCCTCAGACACCCTCATAACTGTGTCCCCCTGCACCTTGTCACAGCCATGTTCCCTGTGGTCCCACTCAGAGCAGGTCCTTGCTGCTGCCAGCTCCTCTGCACGCTCTACCACGTGACGTCCTGTGGTGTCCCCTGTGGGCATCATCAACTCCATGGCTCAGCACAGCTGTGTCCTGACTTTAACTCCTGCAGAGCATGCAGGCATCTCAGCTTTGAGGCTGGAGAGTTTCTTGCCTTGTGAAAACCAGATAAGCTCTCCCAGGTCACCAAACCCCAGGGTTCCTCCCCACTTCCCAAGTCAGGACAGTGATGCTGGACGTATTGGGGACTGCAAGATAAAACTCAAACTTAATCCTTTTGAATTAAGACCCAATCCAGCACTTGACTGGAGAGCCATATAAAGCAGGTATGTACTGAGAAAGGCAGGTACCTTCCCAGGGTGCAGGCAGGCTACCACCTCCCTGAGTCAGCTCTTTTCCTAAGATGATGAATATTGCCTTGACACAAGAAACAAAATTCACTTTCATGACAGAATGGCTGTATGGGCACTGAGAGTTACGCTGGTGCATGGGACTCTGCCTTTTATCCCAACTCACACAAATGTGCCCTGATCTGTATTGCAGCACCAACAGAAGGGATTGCACAGATCCCATAAAGGCTCAGAGGAGCCTGGAGTGAGTTTGCTTACTGTCCTCTACACTTATATTTTCAATAGAAATGTTCCCATGTGGGAGACTGAAAGGAGCAGAGCCTTTGTGTGTAGTGATTTTGATCCTTCTGATGAGTCCTGAGGCTTTCAGACTCCCAGCAGAGGTGGCAGAGTGGGGAATCCTGCTGCTTAGCAGGGAAAGATCCACACTACAGTGGAAAGAGGAAAGCACAATTTGAAGTCAGGTAATTGCTCCATTAATAATTCTGGTTTATTTATAAAATTATCCATAGTGATGAATCTGAGTAAGGGCAAAAGTTTGCACAGCCTGCTTCTCATCCCACAAACAGGCTTTCGTTTGCATTTGCAGCACAGACACGGCTCCTCTCAAACTTGGAAGGTCACTGCACTGTTGTGCCAGGAACCCTGCCACCTATGGGACAATTTACTTGTTCAACAGGGTGAAACGGGAGTGAAACTCAGTGTGGGGTGAGCAGGAGGACCCATGAGATGGGATTGCTGGAAAATTACTCACAGAAAGGTGCTGGCCCTCAGCCCAGCTGGCCTGCATGGGGCAGGGGGCTTGCTCTGGCTTTTGGGAGACTGGATCAGCTCAGCCTAGGAAAACTTTAAAAGCCCAGCGTAAACATCACCTCAGCTGAGCCTGACAGTGTATAAATATATCATTCAGCATCCTAGATAATAGTTGCCTGAGTTAATTAGGGAAACACTTAACAGGCAGTGAGATTTTTCTATAGAAGGCTGTTGGCAGGGAGATGCGTGGTGGAGGCTTGGCCGGCGTCCCGCATGAAATTCTTCTGACAAACAACTCTGGTGCGTGGTGTTCAGGAGCAGGCGCCAAAAGCCAGTCTGGGAAGACATCCCTACTCTGGAAAATGCTTGGGTCTGCTCTTGATTTTAAGCAGCTTTGGTGAAAGCAAAGTGCTGTGCTGTGTGTAAGCGTCTCGCTTTGCCTCCCCAGCGCATTTACTACCTGTCCCTGGAGTTCTACATGGGTCGCACTCTGCAGAACACCATGGTGAACCTGGGCCTGCAGAATGCTTGTGATGAAGCCATTTACCAGGTAAAGTCTTGAGGTTACCAGGGTCCCCCTGAGGCTAAACCTTTCCACACAGATACCTGAGTATCTTCATTTCTCAGGGCTTCGCCTGAGAAAGTTGTGTTATTTGGACTACACAAAATGAAGCTTGGCTCTTTCTTAGTGTTTTTCATTCCCTAGAGAAGACAATGGGGAGGCCTTGAGTACATTTTTTTCTAAACCACCATTTCCCTGTAGTGAATGGGAGAACCCAGAAGTGTATACTGAAATCAACACCCAGTATCATAAATGATATGAGAGCCACAGGTTGCAAAGAACTTTCCATTAATGGGGGAGATGATGGTTTATCACAGGAGAGACTGGGACTAGAGCAGCAAAACCTCAAATTACAGTTCATACGTTGAGGTACACAAGGCACAGCAGCAGTGCTGGCAGATAGAAGTTAATTGGTGGGAAAGGAGAAAGGAGGGAAATAATTTGCTGGAAATAAAGTGTCCTCAGATTATTTCCATCTTGGAAAAAACCTAGCTGGGTGTCACCAAGGCAATCACTAATGTGAGGTCATTGTTACTTACTTTTATGGTTATTTGCAGACACCTCTGCAACATCATAGTGACCTTTTTTGGCAGAATGAGGTTTTTGACTTTCTCACCCAAACCCTTTATTTCTCCCAGCTTCGCCTCTCCCCACCCTCTGCCCTACCAGATTGATACATGTTACACTTGGTAGCAGAAGTTGGGCACTTCACTGTCTCTCTAAATGAGGTGCTACGTTGCTGCAGAAACATCCTGGCAAGCACTGTCCCAGACAAGAGACCCGAAGGGATTTCCAGGGAGGCACCTGTTTCCTCTCTGAGGTATTGTGCCTCGGAGAGCAGGCTGGCTTTTTTCAGGAGCATCTTCTAAGTTCCTTTGCAAGACACTTTCCAAGTGCAGATTTCGCCTGACATGCCAAGCTTTCCCTTGCTGTAGCTTCCAGCCTGTGGAGCTCATCATGGCCCATGGCCAGGTTGCTTTGAAGGTCTTGTATCTATCATGGCTCTGTCACTGAAAGAATTCATCTCAGTTTTTGTGTCCCCATCACTCTGTGCATGAGGCTTTCCCATCTTGTGGTTGCAGACCATTGATGTGCTGGGAAAACAGTCTGAGGAGCAGCCATGCTGTTGGCTTGACACCCTGCTGTCCCCCCTGGCACTAGGGTGAGCTACTGCTGCCCCCTGAGAGTCTGCACCTCTGGACTCTTGGAGAGTCCTTGCTGCTGGCAGCCTTAGCCTTCATCTGGCAGGGGCCCCCAGGCCATAGAACAAACGGCTCAAGGGATGCAGTCAACCACTTCCAGCCATGGACTGCAGCCAAGGAGCTCAGTGTCAGGCTGGGCAGGATGTGGGAAGCACAGGGAGTGATGGTGAATGCTGCAGTCACTGCTGCCAGCCTGGCCATGCCCTTCCTCAAGGACTCAGTGTAGGAGCAGAGGGATGACCTCCCTTGCCCAGGCAGGACTCAGGGGTCCCTTGCACACCAGCTTGACCATTACCCAATACTGTCTCCAGTGTCAAGTTTGGTCAAAGGGCATCCTGACCTGAGCGGCTGCTAGGGCATGGGAGTTTTGTCTGAACTCTCTAAGGAAACCTTCTTCATGGGAAAATGACATCTGGCAATGCTAAATCAAAAAACTGTAAAGCTAAATTAAAATTAAAGCTAAATCAATTGGGCTGCCCAAGGACTAGGGCTTGGTGAGATGCTCTGTGGGGGAGAATGTAGAGACCTTGTCGGTTTCATTTCCCTCAGTGTGGGTGGTTTTGGATTTGTGTTTGTCCTCCTTGAGAGCAGCTCAGGACATGGGTTTGTTTGGTGACATGTTCTGCTGTGGTTCTTCCCCAATAGCTGGGTTTGGATTTGGAGGAGCTGGAAGAAATTGAAGAGGATGCTGGACTGGGAAATGGAGGCCTGGGCCGCCTGGCAGGTAATACATGGGGAGGGGATTCCCTCCTCATGCAGAGTGCATGGGGACTGAGGGTGGCGTGGCTGTCACACACTCACCACTGGCATCTGCCCCATGGGATTCAGCAGTGTGGGACCCTCCTGCCTGCTCCTGACTGGCCAGAATCATCCCCTTCCCAGTGAGAGCACCCCAGAGCTGTAGGTGTGTGTTCCGCAGTGCAGCAGGCAGGGCTGCGGCTGGAAGAGGCTGTCTGGAGCCTTTCTCCTCACCTCCCCGTGAAATCTCTCACTTCTCAGAGGCACTCAACAGCTCTCACACAGGCAGATTGTTGGCTGCTATTTTAGTCTGCCTGTCCGGAGGG